CCCAGCAGCTCCGGCTGCTCCCTTCCAGAGGGCACCGAGCTTTTTTCTGCAAAGACAAGTAATTTGGCAGCCCCCCATCCTTGTCCCTTCCCGTTCCAGCCCCAGTTCGCAGCACAGAAGGGGTTTTGCCTGTTTTTTGCACCAGGAAAAGAGATATTTTGGGGGCCCAGCAGAGCCCACCCAGCTCGGGGCTGCTGGTGGGATGGGGCCACTTCGCCAACGCTGGACCCCAGGGTGCGAGGATGTCCCCATGTGTAGTTGGCAGCAGCGGTGGCTCGCAGGGACCCATCGCTGTTCAAAATAAATTCTTGTGTGAGGCTGCCTTTCCTGGCTGCTTTATACGGCTTTTTATGGCCCGCCTGGGGAGTGTGTGTTTTTTAAAAAAAAAAAAAAAAAAAAAAAAAAAAAAAAAAAAAAAGATGCACGTAGACGAGACACTTGTCTGATGGCAAAGTTGCCCATGGGGAAAGCAAAGTCCAGCCAGCAGCCAGAGGAGCAGCCCGCTGCCAGCACGGTGAGCCCCTGGCCACCCTGCAGAGCCAGCACCTCCCGGGCATGGTGGGCACAACGTGGGCACCGAGGGACCAGCACCCTGGGAAGGCTCCCAGCACCCAGCCTTGCCCAGGGTGGGATCGCACCCCTCGTGGCAGTGGGACCCTACGGTGGAGGAAGGTGTGCGGCACCCTGCACCTTGAGGTCGCTGGGCCATCACGCCCTGTGGAATGGGTGCTACCGGCATGGCTGCTGGAGGGGCCAGTGTGGCTGGGGTGGCCAGCAGTGGGCCCTGGGCTGCCCCGCAGCACTTGCCCCATCCACACCTTTGCTTCCCTCCCTCTCCCTCCTCCTTGCTGCTTTGGCTGGGATTTGATGCCTGACCCCCTGAGCCGACCACAGCATCCACCCCGGTCCTGGGTGGCTGCGGCCACCGCTCCTTATTTTGCCTGTGCATTTGCCCCCGAGTCCCTGGTGCCCTCTGAGAAGCCTTGCCCTAGCTGTGGCAGCCGCAGGGGGGGGTCAATCCAGCGGGAAGCTCAGGACAGTGCCCCGGACGGCAGCGGGGGCTGAGCCCCCTTGTCCCCAGTGCCAGCAGAGCCCCGGGAGCTGCCCCACCGCTGCCTTTTGCAGGCATGGCCTGAGCAGGGCAGAACCCCCCCCAGTGCTGGGACACGTACCTTCCCGCTCTTGTTTTCCTTGCAACCCCAGCAAGACCCCACCGTAGCCCCTCCTGCACGAGGCGATGGGGCAGGGAGGTGCGGGGTGGCACCCGGGACCCCCTGTGCCATGCTGCCAGTCTGCTCCATCAGCCTCCTCCCAGACACCAGCCCAGGGACCACCGACCTTAGCACTTAGCCCAAACCAGGAGCTGCTGTGGGAGGCAGCAAGGAGCTGGGCCGTGCCATCAGCTCCAGCCATACGGTGACATCTGGGGCCAGAAAGAAGTCATTTGGTGCGAGGCCGTGCCGTTAACTCTGTGGCTGAATCTGCTTCAGACAGCGTGGCCGATGGCTCGGGTGATGATCCCCCTCTGGGTTACATCCAGGGCTGACACGTGATGGATGGAGAGGCGGCAGAGAGCTCTGGGCACCCTGGGAACATGCAGCAGGAGGTGAGGATCCCAAATTCTTAACCCCAGCTTACTTAACCTTTCTTAACGCGGGCTCCTCGCCCCCTCCATTAGCAGCCCAATGGAAACATCAGGCAGCTCACCAAACTGAGCCCCTCCGGCGGTACCGCGGGGAGAGGGGGTCCCCTTTCCTCTTCATCCCACCCCATCCCTCTCATGATGGATTCTCCAGCTTCAGCTCACTCTGCAAAGAGTCTCCTCTGTGCCACACTCCCCGTCACAGCTCCGTGTCCCTTCCAAGTGTTGGCTAAGGAAACCAAACCTGCTCAGGGTCTTTGCAAGAGCTCCACGCTGCAAAACAGAGCCTGGATGTGACCCCCAAACCCATGGGCTGATCCTCTGAAGCATGGCCCAGGGCACCCGTTTACCGGCATTGCAGTAATTAAGGGGGGGTGCTTCAATCAGGGGATGATGTAAGATCCTGCTCACCACGTCCAAGGGAAAATCAGGACAGCTGCAGCCTCCTGGGGCTCGCAGGGGAATAAATACCCCCCTGGATGCGGGGTTACGGCGATTCAGGGATCTCTTCCAGCTGCCATCCCAGACTGACTCCGTTCATGTGCATACATGTACGCTCTCACATCGCCAAAGACGCCAGGGAAAAAAAAAGAAATACAATAAAATTGTGGTGGTGTACGGCGACGTCACGTGGCCGAGGAGAAAACACACTCATCTCAATCGTAAAGAAGAGTTAATTACATCTTCCCGCTCTCCCCGCGTTTCGAAGCGATTATAAGCAGAATGAATCATTATGCGTCTGCTGATAATCATTTTCATCCCGCATCCCGGCTGAATTGCAGGGTGCCGAAGCGCCCTGATGCTTGCAGCATCTCCGAAGAAAAGAAAGCAAATTTCGCTCTTTTTGAGCACTGTGGCGCCAGGGCACCCAAAGCAGAGGGGCTTGGGGGAGAGATCACGCAAAACCCCCGAGGAACGGGGGCGCCACCCCGACGGGAAGCGTGCAGCCGTGCTTTCAAAGGGCGGGAGGGTCTTGCAAGCCGGGTGGGCTTTGATTTTTAGTTTCCCTTCGGAGGAAAGCGCCGGGGTTTGGGGACACAGAGGCGTGCAGCGTGACCGCTCTGCGGCTGGCAAGTTGCCCGCCAGCACGCACGCCGCCGGCCTTTTGCAGTCGTGCATATGGTTCATGGGGAGGAATTCGGTTGCTCCTCCCGTTTTGGGGCTTGCAACGTTGCACGCATGCCGCGGTGTGTCCCCCCCCGGCATGTTGCAGGAGGCAGTTTTGCTGCCCCGGGGCATGCGAGC